CAACATATAAAATGACTACAGCTAAAGGTGGTCAAAAATATTTGAATGTAAAACAATAGGATAAAAACGATGTAAATCAACAGCTGTATAAAACTATCTGAGATTTGATTTTTAGATTTTCAGTAGTGCATTTTTAACAAAAAAATTGCACACGTTCATATGCCCTGATACCGAAACATACCAAATACTAATTGAAACTACGTTGATTATGTTACAGTTTMCATTTCATTTAAAYCAAATTCYATAAAATYAAGAAGCAAGGACAAAGCCTTTACTTTATTGACCTTTTTTGACATWAATGTTCATTTCAAATAAATTGGTATTTTTGTTGTGTTTTTTCGCAGTTGTTTTCAATCKATCGTAATGTGTGTGATGCAATCTATTCCTTTTTTCTTTTTTAGCCATGTATTTCTTTTAAAACCAGGTCAAAAATATATATTAAAATCTAGTGCACCGTGAAAAGGCTATTAAATTTAGAGTGGGTCAAGTGTCCTGAATATGCAATAATTAACACGCCTCAAAGAAAACTAAAAACACTAATGCTTCAATTTATTTGGAAACTGAAATTTCAGGTGGTGTTTCAAGTTGTATTTAGAATCCTAATAAGTATCCAAGACACGTGGACAGTTCACATAGTTTCTAGTCATGTTTTCACCTTTGTATTATAGTAAAATGTGTGTAAGAGAATAAAAAGGTAAGTAAAGAAACACTGGATAGTATTAGGCTACAGATTACAGCTTAGACTATCAACATTTTTTTTGAATGAATGCCCTTATTTCAAAGGCTTTATTATTTTTATGAACTAAAGTCAGAGTTCGGTGGGTTTTTTCAGACAACACTGACACCTGGTGGTCAAATCTAAACATTTCAGTTTACAGGATCCACGTAAACCAGTCTGATGCTTCTGTAACTAGATGGGATTTTGCTGTTTGAAAATTAAATAAATTATTCTGAAATTTTGGTAAAATAAAATATGTTTACAGTTTTCATGAATGATGAAAAAGGAGGCTTGCCGATGTCACTAGACTAAGCCCCGCCCCTCCAGTCATGATCCGCATCATGCGGAAGTAGCTCAGCACTTGTCAACAAGAAAGGCCGACTGACACGGTAATGTATTTGTCCGCTGTCGGTTTTATTATTATATTTTAATGATTAAAATACGTTTCTGACCTGCGTGTTGTGATGTGTTTGAGTTGTTTGACGTGTCTTGTCGCGTTCAGAAGCATTGTCTTGTTGTGTCGTAGTTTATAAAAGTGACCAAAACGAGCCGTGGAAATAGAGGATGTTAGCCGTTAGCATGTAGCATTTAGCTCGCTGGTAAAGCTCTCAGAAAGAGGCGAGGAGGAGCTGCTGCTCCCTGTTTCGGCTTCAAATCGAAACTGTATCGTTAGCTTTTTATCTCTGAGAGTGAGCTGAAGACAAATTAAGATGGTATACGACTCTAGRGAGAAATGTCTCATGGTTTTATATGATCAGATATAAGAACTATAACAGTTTTGTTGACGAGGGTTTGTTTTTCCTCGGAAATGTTTGTGTGTCTGTCGTCATTGTTGAGAAGATTATAGGAAGGAACTCGCTGTGTTTGTTGTGTACGCAACACAAAAATAACCATTCAGTGGGCCTCACCAAGTGTCTCATTGTTTTCTGCCACAGTACACMACATTATTCAGAAAATATGCCGTTTTCTAAGAGGAGGAGGAGGAAGTGGACGTTATTTTTATATCAGCTATATATTTTACATTTAAACAAATTACACATTAAACAGGAAGTTCACGGATTGTGTCAATATAAATCATTTTAAATTGTGATCAGGCAGGAGTCTGCAACCTTTTACAGCTGGAAACCCTAAAACCTGAGAAGAAACTATAAAGTTTAATTATTTTATATGATGCTATGTTCTAGTTTATGTTGCATTATTAGCATTTCAGCTTTCTCTTTTAAGTGTTACACTAAAACCTTTTGCAAAATCTGCATTTTTTGCACATTTTCCTTTGCATTAGAAAATATTTAAAACAAACATGATTAAAAATGGAGATTAACAGGAACGTAGCCAGAACACAGTATAACATTTCAGTAGTGCAACAATAATGCAGCTTCTAAGCTCATAAYAAAAACAAATCAACAAAACCTAAGTGATGTTTTAGATTACTGACTGAGCACAATTCCTCATAAAATTCACTTGATGTCAAACTGCTCACCTAATTTTCAGTTTGGATGGCTGAAATGAGGTGTCAAACATAAAAAAAGTTATATGTTTTAAAAATAGATGTTTAGTTTCTTTGCAGAAAGAATTTTGTACAAAACAGCTTTGTTTTATCCGATTTTATTCCAATTTAATGCGTTTTGTGTTGCAATACACCCTTCTGAGATAATTGCATTGTATCAATAACAATGTTAAATGCAAATTAAAGTAGTTTTTAATTATTATCAGGTAGTGTTAATCSACATAAGGCTTTAGCATGTTTATCATTTTTCATTGTTGTCTTCACAGGTGAAGTCTTCCTGAACCAAACCTCTTAAAATGGCACTTTTCTGACCCTTTGAAATCTTCCAAATCTTCACAATTTYAACTAGTTTTTAAAACTTTACTAAAGAACCATTTCCACGATGACAGTCAGCCTCCACTTGTGTGCGCTCCTGGTGTTCATGACAGGTGAGTTCAATCTGAGTTCTTGTGTCTGCTTCGGATCAGATCAGTCAGAATTTTTATTTGTTTATTTTTGCTTCGTTRGCAAACTGTCCACAGTTTTAACACCTGCTTGACCAGTTCTGTTTCTGCTTGTATTTTCTCTGCAGCCTGCAGTCATTTTGAACCTGCTTCCTGCTTCGGTGAGGAGACAAACTAGTCTTTTGAGTTGTCGGCAGGATTTTATATTTATTGTTGTTGTTGTTTTTGCATGATTTCCTCAGACTTGATATTTTTTAAAGATGAAGTTACATTTTTATATCTAGACCAGCAGTGGGACCACTACTAGACCCATCTTTTTTACTTTGTTTTTCAACACATTTCAGGATTTCAGTAGATCTTATGGACTTTGGATGTCCTTTTATACATTTAATTGTTCTTTTACTCTTGTTTCTATTATATTTTTACGTTATTTTTTGTATTAATGTCTGATTTGACTTGCTTTAGTCAACAACCATTGGTTTAAATCTACTATATAAGCACAGTATTGGCGACGCTGCTGTCTCTAATCCGTTAACAATAATTTGAATGAATTCTCTTGGTTCTGTTGCTCAGTCCATTGTGAGCATTCCCCTCAGGTCTTTGAGAGTAAAGTGGGAGAGATCAGGAGTTCTGCCTACCACAGCTGGTCCTACCGCTTTGGTTCTGCCTATGATTGCTGGTTGATCAAAGGTTCAGAGGATGAGCCCATTGTTCTCAGGTACAGATGCTGAATTTGCTCTCAAATYTGCTACAGATGAGATTTTCTGAAATAATTGTAGACTAAATCATTTAATCATTAAATCATTTTGTATGAGTCACTAAATAAATTGCAATCTACACCTGAACCGAGTTCGACAAGTGAAATAATGACGTTTCTTTGTATGCTGTTGTTATTTTTCTTCCCTAGTTTCTCTCAGTTTTCTGTGCGATGTAAGAAAGAATGGCTTACCATAAAATCATCATCCGGCGGTGAGCCGGTTTTCCTTTGTGGCTCCAAGCTGCCGCAGCCGTTGGAGTTTCCAGGGGGAAACATTACGCTGGTGCATCATTTCTTCCCTCACCTGTTTCCTGTTTCATCGTTTCTGCTGAGCTTCTCCAGAGGTATGGTAACATGACGTCTCTGCCAGTTTGTGTGAAAAGGTCCAGTTCATCTCGTCTAATCCTCTGCTGTTCCCACCTCATCCAGCCTCTGGCGACTGCCCGGAGACGTCTTTCAGGTGCCTCGGGGGTCGCTGCATCCCCCACTCCTGGCGCTGTAACGGCCAGGTGGAGTGTCTCGGCGAAGGCCTCGGCTCCGACGAGCTGGGCTGCGATGAAGAAATGGACTACGCAGAGACTAAAACCGTGACGTTTCCCGGCAGAGCCCAGGAACGAACCATGGAGAGGAATAAGGTCATTGACAAGAGGTGGAGCACAGACGTCCCTGACCTGTGGATATTTGGGGGAGACCAGAATCAGGTGGCTCCAGAGCAGCCACAGACTCAGAAGGATCTTGCWGTGACGCCGACTCCCATTGAGTGGCCTTGCGGAGGTCTCCTTCAGACGTTTTATGGGACCTTCTCACCTCCACTGTCCCACGGTCAAGGTATGCTCTGTGTCTGGACTCTGGACCCCGAGGACTCCAGGCCACTGAGGTTGGACTTGGAGCAGCTTGTTTTGGGTCCTGATGATAGACTCACCATCTACACCCGGGAGGAAGGCAAAGGAGACATCATCAGAAACGTGAGCAGGAACCTGAAYTGTTTTCTTGGTTTGTTAAAACCGTTCGGTGTCACGACGTCTCTTTCTGTCTTCACAGATCACMAACGCCTCCAATTTCAAGGAGATCAAAGTGGAGTCCCACACCGGTGTGATGTCACTGGTGTTTGAGGTACAGCCTCACTCCTTCGGCACCGGGTTTAAAGCGACCTTCCAYGTGGGGAGCTACTGCCCCCCATGGGAGGGTCGCTGCGGGGGAGCAGCAGGTGGGTGTTTCACTCAGGAGCAGCACTGCGACGGGAAATGGGACTGTCCCGAGACCGGGAAGGACGAGCAGGGCTGCAGGGGCTGCGGTCCCAACCAGTTTGCGTGCGGGCTGACAGCGCAGAGATCGGTGGCGGCGAGCCACTACGCCGGTAGGCCCGTGTGCTACCCGGCGACGGAGCGATGCAACTACCAGCTGTACTGCGCCGACGGCAGCGACGAGAAGGACTGCAGCGTGTGTCAGCCGGGGACCTTTCATTGTGACAGCGGCAGGTCAGCGTGCACGGCRTTTACTATGATTAAAAACTAAAATCTGTGCTCATGTTCATCTRTCTCTGCTGCAGTTAGTGACAGATTAGTTCTCACTCAGCCTGGCTTGGAAGAAAGAAAGAAAAGGAGGCTTTGAGGGAAATAGGATGGGAAACACTAGTTTAAACCACATCAGAGGCAGTGAGTTCAGCAGAATCTAACCCACAACTCTCATTAGAGGATGATTGCTATGGGATAARTCTTGTGCCAGCAGGAATTGAATTTGAATTGCTCAGAATGGGCCTCATGCAAGAACATGTTCGTATTCTTATCCTAAATTTCTCTTACTTTTGTTCATACGAACATGTCACGTCAGATTCAACAAACTCTTCAATCTCCAGGAAAAGTGTGTAAATGAGCTGCATAAATTACACCTGTTCGTATCCAGCTGCTCGTACACGCGAGAGGAGATTAGCATAATTACCACCCCAAAAACAC